CGACAAAAAGTGGAAATAGCTCCAAGTATAAACGATATAAGGAAGCTTTATGATTATGTAAACAATAAGAGACGTGAAGCATATAATCTTTTAAAGAAAGAATTTTCTTACAATGTATGGCAATCTCTGGGTGAATGCACATTAATTTCTATGCAAATATATAATAGAAAACGTGCAGGTGAAATGCAACGAATATTATTGGAAGATTTTTATACTTATGAAGGTTTAAATGAACAAAGTGATCCAGATCTTTTTAAATCTCTTTCGAATCCAGCAAAAGAAATCGCACGTAAATATATACGATTTCAAATAAGAGGAAAATTAGGTCGTCCTGTTCCTGTTTTATTAAATTTTGACTTTTAAATTGTGTAAAATTATTTATACAGTGCCGAAACAATGCTAATGTACACCAAAAAATCCATATGTTTTTGGTATAGAAGGATTTCACAAACAAAGATTTAAATACCTAAGAGCATGTGACAATATGAGAAAATTTGCTCACGAATGTGGAGCAACTCATCCTGAAAGATTAAGAGGCACTCTTCTTAGAAAACATATCGCAACTAATTGCCATAAATTAAAATTAACAGAACATGAAGTATCCGAATTAGCAAACTTTATGGGTCACAAAGAAAACATACATAAACAATACTACAGGTTACCTCAGAAAGAGAATGATATTCTTAATATTAGTAAATATCTGGAAGCTGCACTTGGTACATGTGACAATTCTGAAGACGATACTAATAGTGACGATGATGACGATACTAATACTGATAATATTGAATTGTATAGCATTATTGCTGATGATCTTAGTAATAGTAATACTACTAATAATAACAGTAATACTACTATTAATAACAGTAATACTACTATTAATAACAATATTACGCAAGGTATAAAATAGTAATCTCACAACTTCATTGTTCTTAAATTTTAAGGATATAAACTAAAAGGCAAACTCATGTATAATCAAAAATATAAAATTATTTACAGAATCTGACAGCATTTGCGCCGCAAAAAAAAGAAAAACTACCACAAAAAATAAAAACAAATTATGTAACAGTAAGTTTGACATTTTTATATTTAATTGGCTAGAAATAGTTCTTTTATTGCAAATTATATCATATTTGAGTATAAGCTTTTATTTTATATGCATACTTAATAAATTAAAGTCATTGACAGAAAAGAAAAGTTGGTTTAAATTAACATGATATTACCCCAGTACATAATCTATTAGCAGTCTGACGACAGATTGACGACTTGGCGTTTTGGTAAAAGGAAACAGAAATTTTATTTCTTCCCGTTTACTTGTGTCATCATGTTAGTTCAACCAGAAATATTTTTTCTCTATGTACGATTTTGTGTTGTTGATGCATAACTTTTTTATCAATTAAATAATTAAACAATTCTATAGTTATGTAATAAATTTCATTTTTTTTACAGAAGATAAAGTAAAGACGAAGTACAAACATACGCGTTGGACTGATGAGGAAAAAAATATAGTGCTGAACAAATTTAGCACTTATTTAAATACGTATAAATATCCTTTGAATAAAGAGATTACAGCTTTAATAGGAGATAATTCTTGTTTGCAAACACGAACTGTACGCCAAGTAAAGACCTGGCTCAATAATCAGCAAAAGATTTTACGTAATAATATTTAAATGTTATGCTATGCTTTATTTTTTATTTTATTTCATTATAAGCTTTTACATTTTTGTTATTTCATCAAATATTTGCAAAGTGTACAAAATTTTTTTAAGATGCTAAGCTGTTGTTTAAAACATTGTACACTTACATATTAGTACAATAGTATAAGTATATTTTTTTAGTATTAGTTGAAATTACTTAAAAAAGAAAATATTTTGTTACTTTCGTTCATATAATTTATATAATTGAAGAAAAATATTTTATCATTTTTATTTATATATTTTGTATATGTATATACTATGTTTAATTGAAGGAACGTTTTGTTTGTACTTATGTTATAAATATAACATAACTTGTTAACTATGAAATAAAAGAAAAATATACGTATTGTGAAAATATAATGTTGCTTTATTATAATACATAATTGTGATCATTATAACATATGAATATTATAACTAGGATTCGTATATTAAAGGATTCTTCACTATAGCAGATTTATGTATTGAAGGGTTCCTCACTATAACAGTATTGAAGGGTTCCTCATTATAGCCGATTCTTATTAGCGGTTAAGCACAAAAAAATATAAGCATCTTTAAAAATTGAAGTTAGTAAGCGCTAGTCTGCTGAGAGACAAATAGCATATTAA